TTGGCAATGCTCATTCTTATCAGAGAAAATTGTCTGAAACAGCCTTTTAACCGTGAAGGAACAGAATTCGTAAAGAATCATTAAAAGGTTTGCAGTTACCTCTGTTTCATGTTTGTTTCCTTGGAACAAGGTTTGGGTCTGAACATCTACTCCACTCTACCCTAAAAGAACTATATCTGAAAGGAAGTGGCTAGGAGCACTGAAAAGTCAAGGTTTTTCTTCCAAGGCATCTTAGCATGACATATTTGTTGTAAGAAAGAGAAGAGTGTGAAATTTGTCATGGTTCCAAATTAATCCCAGCAGCTTGAAATAGAAGAATCATCATCTACATTCATGGTGATCTTGACCCGCCCCCCACTGGAAAATGATGCAGCAGGATAAAAATCCCACTCTGGTGCCAGCATTATTGAAGGCAGCTTCCTAACGTTTTTCTCAAGTTGTTAATTACTCAGATTTGTGTTACAGGGAGAGAGAGAAGAACAAGCAGTCTCGGGAAAAGAAGAGAGTGCAAGCTCAATGATGAAACGGGACTCTCTCTTGCCCTCTGCGGTTATACAAATTGGGCAGTTTTTATTCTGCCACATGTAACCTACTTGGCCAGAAGGAAAGGCATGCAGGGATGGAATGAAATATTTAAGTGAAGTTCACATTCCCCGCTGAAGCTATGGATCTGTATGGCCAGATGTACTTTCTTCCCTTTCTCACACTGCCTGGTGTGATTCTAAAGATGGCCCTAGAAGGAAAAAGAGAAATCATTAGATGCTGGTGAATCCATACAAGAAGACCTGGATACCTTCTACTGTGCAGAAGAAGAATGTTTAAGATGTAGGTTTCTGATCTTTTCTTGACTGAAATCAAGAAGGAGCTTTTTAGATTGCGCCAAGAAGATTGTTACTATACCTCAAACAGATTAAATGATTAAAAATATGGAAATTTCAAGTTAAACATCTTTATAATTGGATAGAACCACTTGAGGAGTTGCCTGGAGGTTTGGAGGTGAAGTGGATGTTTTGGAGATGTTTAAATAGACCACACACTGGTTTGGCTAGAACTAAAGACCACAAGGAAAGAAATGGGAGTTTCTATCAGAGAAAAAGGATATTTATTGCAAATGTGGCACTATTCAAGCAACTGTTCATCTTTTACAGTGCCCCCTGGGACCGACATGCACACAGTATGACTTGCTGCTTGGAAATATCCTTGCCATCTATGTGGATGAAAATTAAATAAATTCATTTTCATAAATAGTTGTAATCTTTTGAAATTTAAATAAATCATTTCCCTTTCTCTAGTGCCTACATTTCTGACATGAGACGAGATCCTTTTCAAAATATACGAACTGTATATTTCAAGGAATCTCAGAATAAATCTTGCAAAGATGGACATATAAGTGATGGGGAGCTTCGTGCATGATTCTCCTTTTCCCCAAGGACGGAGGCCTCCCAGTAGCACAAGCGAGTCTTCTTTTCTTTTTCCATTAGTGCAGATTTTTTCAATCATGGTTCCTCGTATATGGTTGGACCAGAGGTGGTATTCAGCAGGTTCTGACCAGTTCTGGAGAACCGGTAGTGGAAATTTTGAGTAGGTTAGAGAACCGGCAAATACCACCTCTGACTGGAGATTTCACATATCCTTCCCCTGCCACACCCACCAAGCCACACCCACAGAACCGGTAGTAAACAAATTTGAATCCCACCACTGGGTTGGACCACATTCAGTGCAACATGTCTCCTACCAAGATATGATGGAGCTCATAATACAACAGCATCTGGTCATTAAGTAAAGATTGCAGCAGTGGAAAACTTTGACCTCTCCAGATGCTCTGAACCTCAACTATCATCAGTCTCACCAGGAAGTCCAATAGTAAGAGATTATGGAAGCTGTTGTAGAACAGACTCCTTATGGTTGAAGGAGCCAGTCCTCTATTAGAATATCAGAATAACAGATTTGGAAAGGACCTTGGAGGTCTTCTAATCCAACCCCTTGCTCTAACATTTCAGACAAATGTTCATCCAATTTCTTCTTAAAAACCTCCAGTGTTGGAGCAACCACAACTTCTGGAGGCAAATTGTTTCATTGATTGATTATTCTAACAGTACATTTCTGGGTTGGTTCTCTCCTCTTAGATTATAACTCAAAGATAATTCATCCTTTGAATGACAAAGTTATTGTCTTGCATATGTAAATACTGTAGCTGTACTAGCTAACCTCTATGTAGTAATCTTTATTGAATATGGAAATAGTGGGCTTAATATAAGCAACAGACATCTAAGTTATTCTGACAGTTTAAAAAATTTGCTTTAGGAAATGCTAAGGCAACTTGAAAGCATCCAGACTTTCAAAGACTTTCCAGTTTTTGAAGTTTTATATTTGCTTTCCAAATAGGCATGACTGTCTAACTCATTCACTGAATTTTAAATTTATTCTGTAGATGTATTTACACTGATATTGAAATATGAATGTTACTTTCCTTATTGAGGGAATGGCACAAAAGTAGTATGACACTAAAAGTTTTATTTGGGGAAAGGCTTCATAAAAAATGACAAACTCCTGTAGAAAATATTCATTTTTGAAGTTTTGCTCCACCTGTTTGGAAGTTCTACACATACAAAAGTAGGCATTTCTCATCATAAGAAAGGATTTAAAAGAATCCTGGATGCATGTTTTATTTGCAGTCACATTGCTTCGTGGTTTCAGTTTCATTCTGCAGACATTTTCAAATCAGGTACCTTTAAGAAAAGCACCGTTAGGAAAGTTACTCAGATTTCTTTTTTTTAGATTTTTATCCCATCTTTTGTTCCATATTCAACTCAAGGCAATGAACATACCTAACACTCCTTCCTACTCATATTTTCCCCACACAACAGTCCTGTGAGTGAGTTGATCTGAGAGACAGTGACCGGCCTGAAGACACTCAGTCAGCTCTCATTTGTAAGGTAGGATTAGAATTTACCATCTCCCAGTTTCTGGGCCTGCGCCTTAACAACTACACCAAACCGGCTCTCCGTTTCTGAATATTTTTTCAAAGATTTGCAGAAGTTTATGCTTTGCAATTGCTTAACGATTCTTCTCCAGTTTAATTACTGAAAAACTATTGTTGGAAAAAGACCAGGAACAGATTTCTGTTTGAAAGACTTTGCAAATTAAGGTTTTGATATTGATAACAAAATCCTAGGTTGAATACATGTTAACAGACAACCTAACCATTGTTGATGCATGTTGGGTCACCAGCTATTATATTTCCTCTGACTCAATTGATGGATTATTTGTGATAAAAATAACAAGCATCAAGTAGAGTCTTACAGCCAACCCTCTGATAATATCTGGAATCAACCAAAGGTACAATTGCAAGTAGATTTCTTAAGCAGTGACAGTGAAAGCACCACAACTCTACTTGTGAACAGCAAGCGAAGATGTAATTCCTTAAATATCAGTGAAGCAACAAGGCTCCAACTCTTCAGAATAGCGAGCCAGGATGGAAATAAAACATCTGCCCCAAAATACATCAAGTGAGTGAATCCTATGAAGAAATAAGAAATTAGAAAATCAGTCAAACAGTGTTTTTGCTGGGTTGCTTGCACATACATTGGCATTTTTCTGGATGCTGGAACATTGTTTATTATATATTGATCAGCATCCTCAAGAAAGTAATATTAGCTACATGGATTTACTTAGATAAGACAAATACGTAATGAACAATGAAAAGTGTTAATTGAATGCTGACCTGTTATCCCTTCAAATTACAAGACTGTCTTCTTTAATAATTGAATATTTCTGTTCTGCATCTATTATGATTTGGGGCTTTCCCTCTGTTGCATACTGATAATGCCACCAGCTCGCAGAAAAGAATGTCTCGCTATAAATTAAGTTTGCCTTGGCAAAAGGCATGTCTTGCTGGCATGGCTAGTGACAGCCACGAAGAGCAGGTGGCTTGTACAATATACTCAACAAGCCTAAAAGCTGAATTGCCAAAGTCATATTGTGGGAGCTCAATTTGAAATCTGAGGAATCAGAACTTTCGAAGAAGTTTAATGACTGGTTGTGTATCAGGAAAGACACAGGCTTTTCAACAAGGGTGCAGCAGAGTCCACCATTCAAATTCTACTTTTCCATCTGTATAGGTAGTCCTCAACTTACACCACAACTGAGCCCTAAATTTCTGTTGCTAAGTGAGACATTTGTTAAGTGAATTTTGCCCCATTTTACAAACTTTCTTGCCACAGTTGTTAAGTGAATCACTACAATTGTTATGTTAGTGACACGTTTGTTAAGCGAATTTGCCTTCCCCACTGACTTTGCTTGTCAGAAGGTTAAAAAAGGTTGCATCTGAATTTTGGTTACGTAACTATGGGGATGCTGCAATGGTCGTAAGTGTGAAAAATAGTCTAAACTATTTTTCAGTGCCATTGTAACTTTGGACGGTCACTGAATGAACTGCTGTAAGTCGAGTGTATTTTATTTTTAAACATTTTTATCCCAACTATGCACTGATAACACAGACAGCTAAATATTTTAAGTTTGTACGGGTGTGCGGCTTTCCAATCTGGTTACTCTCACCCACTTCTTTTACCTAGATATATTTAATTTCCAAACTTATGACATCCCCAAATGTACAGTCATTTTGAGTTGAGAACTGCATCACAGAATTGGCACATGGATTGTGGGGGTCCTGATTTGCATGGGTTCCTGAGTGGGCTGCTTCCGGAGGCATAGCTGTGGTTTTAGCACAAAAAAGTAAGTGGATCTTGTCTAAGGATTGGATAAGAAGTTTCTTGCTCCTTATAAGTTATCAAATAAGCCCTAGCCTCTCTTTGTGTCTCAGCTCATGCTATATAAGCCTCAACTTCAAAAGGAAATAAGGCAAATCCTAGAGGGTGTGGCTGAGGGTGATACCCATCTTTGTTTTCATTCAAGAAGTCCTTAGCACTGAAATATTATCTCTCGTGGGCATCATGTTTTTACAAATCTCTTCCCCATTCTTGTCTTCTCTCTCTATATAGGACATGTTGCAAAATTCTCCCAACTCCATGACAGCCATACCTGGTAACCCCCAAGGAATTGTGGTACCTGCCTCAGCACTGCAACAGGGGAATATCTCCATGGCAACAGTGAACTCACAAGTTGTGACAGGTGGGAGGCGTGGAGCATACGTCCGTGACCATGTTAGTTGCGTCTTTTGCATGCTTGGTATTTTTAACCCTCCTTCCATAACCAGATTTGAACTATGCATAGTCTAAACCAGGGGTCTCCAACCTTGGCAACTGTAAGACTTGCGGACTTCAACTCCCAGAGCAAAGCTGGCTGAGGAACTCTGGGAGTTGAAGTCCACAAGTCTTACAGTTGCCAAGGTTGGAGACCCCTGGTCTAGACAGAGCAGTGTGGAAATCGGTTAATACGCACACATCTTCTTGTACCCTCATCTTCTCAATCAGGCTGTGCAGGGCTGGGACTTCATCTCCCAAAAGGTGGTTTGGGAGCGAAAGTATTGCCTTCCGACATGCATGCAAAGTGCTCCTGTGCGCCCTGAATCACAACTTAGGGATTGAGTCAATCGCACTGCAAAGTCCCACGTGTGCATTCCTCAGAAGCCCCTCCAGAATTCCTCTTGAGGCACACACATGTTGCTTTTTAAATTTTGTTTTAATTTTTAATTTTATTTATTTTTATTTTTACTAATTGCCCAGGTCATTCAGCACATAGGAATCACGGGCTTTTGTTTTTCTGTTTCATTTAAGAGACTGTATTGACATCTAAAAGCCTCTCCCTTTCAAGAAAACCTCCTGCGACATGCTCTCCAATGGTAATCTGTCTTTACAAAGGTAGTCCCCAACTTACGACCACTATAGGGACCAAAACTTCCATTTTTATACAAGGCTTTTTTTTAAGTGAGTCACACCCAATTTTATGACTGTTTTTGCCATGGTTATTAAGCAAATCACTGCAGCCATTAAGTGAATCACACAGTCATTAAGCAAATCTGACTTCCTCCATTGACTCTGCTTCTATAAGAGCTACAATGACGCAGTGGTTAGAATGCAGCATTGCAGCCTAATTATACCAACTGCCAGGAGTTCGATCCTGACCGGCTCAAGGTTGACTCAGTCTTCCATCCTTCTGAAGTTGGTAAAATGAGGACCCAGAGTGTTGGGGACAATAGGCTGACTCTATAAACAGCTTAGAGAGAGCTGTAAAGCACTGTGAAGCAGTATATAAGTCTAAGTGCTATTGCTATTGTTGGAAGTCAGATGAGAAGGTCACAAATGGAGATCACATGACCTCAAGATGCTACAACCATCATAAATACATGCCAATTGCCAAGCATCCAAATTTTGATCATGTGACGTGACATTTCGATCACAGGATGCTACAATTGGTGTAAGTGCAAGGACCGGTTGTAGGTCATATTTTTCAGCGCCATTGAATGGTCGCTAAATGTAAGTCAAGGACTACCCGTACATGGAATCAGCAAGTTTCTTAGAGTTAAGTCCTCATGGGACTTGAGTTCAGTATTGCACTAAACATCACGACTCAAAAAATATAAGTGATATCAGAAAGAGATTTCAGAAGTACACCTATATTTTTTAGCATGTCCTACCTTGGAACGATGATACACACCGACACCAAGTTTTCAGCAAAAGTTGAATTGTTCCAGGGATTTGGAAAAGCTGAATGGAGTTCCAGAATCACTGTTTTCCCACTCTTATATGAAAGAGGGTGAGCAGTTGGTCTGTGCTTTTCATCAATGCACTTATCCCACAGTACAGTCTGTGCCATACTAAATCTTCTGATCATTGGGGAATTAGTAAGCAAATTAGTAAACTGAACCAATTTGCAAGCCTACTTATGTGAAGATCTGTGAAGATCTACCAAAGAGCAAATTGCATGCTGGGAATGAGGTTTCATGCATGCATCTTTGCAAATGTTGTGTTTTTAACCTTCCTAGAGCTACTGTTTCTATACGAAATGAGCATAAACCATATTTCAGTAAATGAATCTATCATATTCGTCTGTTGAATGGAAGCATTTGTTCCACTATCCACCCATCAAGGTGAAATCTTCATATCACCCTGTACCTTCATATTCTATTTCCATTCATGAACAATTCCTAAGCTTGCTGCCAGCAATAAATAAACAAATTTATTTTTCACTCTGAGAGCCTTCCTTTTCATGATTTTTAATTTAAGGAGGAAAAAAAACTGTTTGCTTATTCGTGTATTCCACAGGTTGGGCAGATGATGATGATGATGATGATAAAGGCCCAGTGAGAGACTCAGTAATAATAATAAAGGATGAAATCAGGATTTTCCTGTCAAGAGACAATTAAAAAAATAGTGAAGTGTGATAAATCAATTCCAGTTTTAATACACGGTTATATTTTCTTATTTTTTTCCAGCTTAAAAATTACTGATTAGTTGTTTGCCAACTTTTCAGAGAGTGGTGCAGGTTGCAAGAAAGATACTTGGGGGCCCTTGATGGCAGCCATAGATAGTCCAAGTTTAAAGTCCATATTTTCAAGCCAGTCCTTGTGATCATAAATTTAGGGTGAACATGACATCTTTCAGGCAAAGATGATAATGTAGATTCCCTTGATAACCAGCTTTTTTTCCAAAAACCATTTCAAATACAGATGGTTGGTTAAAACTTTTGTTGGCTTGTGGGTTTTGGATATTGCCTTTGTTGTAAAATTGTGAAATCCTATCTGTTTGCCAGGTGGAGCCCTTTACCAGCCTGTAACTATGGTTACATCTCAGGGCCAGGTGCTAACCCAAGCAATTCCTCAAGGGGCTATTCAGATCCAGAATGCACAGGTAAGAATGGAAAGGGTGCTCCAGAAGTCACCAGATTGTTCTGAAGGTTTTGCAAATTTTGAGTGTTTTCCAAGCTTGAAGGAGAACTTTCCTGACAGTGAAAACAATTAACGAGTGGAACAGCTTGCCTCCAGAAGTTGTGGGTGCATCATTGGAGGTTTTTAAGAAGAGATTGAACAGTCATTTGTCTAGCATGAGATAGCATCTCCTACATGAGCAAGGGGTTGGACTAGAAAACCTCCAAGATCCTTTCTGTTATTCTGTTATTCATTAGGAGGAATACGTGGATGTGCCTGGCATAAAGTAAATTGGAGTGGGTGGAGATAAATCACCTGTCTATTCCAGGCAAGGTTATTCCTCTCCAGAAGATCTCTGTTTGAGGGAGATATGTTTGAATTGCTGCTTTTAAGTGCAAAATTTAAAAAGTAGTATACTGTACATTAAGCAGCCTTTAGTTTAGTTTAGAGAAACAGAAATAGCATGAGTGGGCTTGGAGGTAAAACTGTTCTTTACTATCTTTATTGCAGTCACCAACCAGCATTTTATATACTTTGTGAAAAAAATCTCAGAGTTCAGGTGTTGACCAGTGCTGTTGTTCCCATTAGCATGGAGTATTGCATGAGGAATGGGTGTGACTAAGGCTAGTAACCTACTACACCTATTCTGTCTTAATGAGAAAGCGCTTTTCTTTCTCTTCTGCTATTTGATATGGCTTCAACTGGAGCCTCACCACTAGGCATGGCAACAGAAAGATCCCCAAATGCTAATTCTTGACTGCCATCTACCTGTTTGATTATGTGCCAGCATGTCAGTGCTGACTCTTAAGGACCATTCAAATAGATTTTCTCCAGGAGGATCTGTCCTCATCTTGATCTTCAGATCTTTCAATGGTGTGCCCATTGTTGCTGTAGCCGAGTCCATCTACTTTTGAGTCCATCAAAAGAGCTCTGATGGTGCAGTGGTCAGAATGCAGTATTGCAGGCTAATTGTGCCAACTGCCAGTAGTTCGATTCTCATCTGCTCATGTTGACTCAGCCTGCCATCCTTCCAAGGTAAAATGAGGACCCAGATTGTTGGGGGCAAGATGCTGACTCTGTAAACCACTTAGAGAGGGCTGTAAGCGGTAAATAAGTCTAAGTGCTATTACTATTGCTATTGCTACATTGGTACAGGTCATCCTGTTCTCTTCCCAGCATTGTAGACTCCTCCTGAGATCTGGACCTTTGCCTACTATATCTAAATAATGATAAGTGAGAACTCTGGAGTTTGAGTGAGAACTCTGGAGGGTTTTGTTCTATGATCCATTTGTTTTATTCATTTGTATTTGTTTTACACTATTCTCAGAACACCAAATATCCTCTAACCTTAATTCTTACAGTCCAGTCATGGTAGTTCAATCTGAACAATCACTATTCTTGAAAGAATGGGGCAAGGAAGAACATATCAGGGTCCCCACTACCACTAGCCCTCATTCAGCTGCTCCATTATATTAACATCCTAATGGTGGATCAGGGTACAGAACAGGAGTCCAGCTGCATTTCTAACACCACCTTTAATACTTATAATCAAAGAAATATACAACCTGTTTCCAGCCGCATGGCATTTAAATCATTCCAACAAAGATTCAGAGAACAGAGGCATGAATAATTAAGATCTTGTGCTGGTAGAAAACAGCCTTCCTTGTTAGTTTTCCCCACCGGATTTTTGTAGGCAGAAATCCTTACCTGCTTCTTGAAATGTATCCCAGTTATTCTCCCTCTTCTTAACTGTCCTATTTTGTATTAATGAGAAGCAAATCATAGCAGCAGTTGCTACACAAGCTTGAATCATTAAAAAAAAACCTGTGCATTGATGTGCCAATGCTTCCTACTGATTCAGCACTATTGGGACTTCCATTGCACCTAGTCAGTCTCCAAACTCTTTTTAAGGTCTCCAGGCTTTTCCTTTTTCACCTTCTGGATTAAGGCTTGTTTCCTTTCTTTTTTTATAGAACGCTTAATAAAAAACTAGAGAAATACAGCACTCCACGGTGAGATTCGTAATTCTTAGCTCTCTCTGAGTGGGAGCATAGAGGGGGAAAAGCGAGCCCCAAATACCAGATCCGAGTCCTTCTGAAATGTGTAAATCTAGCTCAGATCTTAGAGGGAAATTGATCAGATGTGTTGAATACAAGTAGGCTGGGAATATTGTGGGAAGGATGGAGCCCTGGACAAGCACTCTTAATGTCACTTTTATATTGCCTGGGTAATTTATTCAGCCCTGGCCTTGCTATACATCGCAAGCGGCACCTGAGGGAATCATTTATACCTGACACGGGGCTGCCATCCTGATGTTTAATTCATGCAGGAGAAATGTTTTTTATGAAGAACTAGGGGGGAAAAGAGTAGGTGGGTGTATGTGTGTTCTTAAAACTGGATGCTGAAATTTCCAATTTCCTGCAAACCTCATTAAAACTTCTCCCTTCCCAATTCTTTGTCTTTTTTTTTTCAACTACTTTTTAAAAAGATATTTCTTTGCTATCTTCTGCTTCTGGGTATTGCCTGTCCATTCAGGTAGCTAGATAATTGAGAATTACATATTTTCGAAGGGTTTAATAAGACTGAAGGATATTATAAGGCAATATAATTGGAGGTAACTTGGAATTCAAAGGTGGCTGAAAACTGGAGTTTGTTCATAAGAGGAGAAGGGGGAGGGAGAACTGCATTAGGTCAACTATCAATCTATGCACAATATAGTTGCATTGGCCAAAGGCAGCAGTTGCTGCAAAGACTTGTCCACAGACAATATCCATGAGAAATGAATAAGAGAATGATTTGATCCTGAAGATGTGCTGCAGTCACAGATCTACAAAAGGGAAGCATTGCTCTTCAGAGTTAGAAAGGACCTTGAGATCTTCCAGTCCAACCCCCTGCTTATGTAGAAAACCCTATGCCATTTCAGACAAATGATTGTCCAATCTCTTCTTAAAAACCTCCACTTTTGGAGCACCCACAACTTCTGGAATGAAACGGTTCAACTGATTAATTGTTCTCACTGTCAGGAAATTTCTCTTTAGTGCTAGGTTGCTTTTCTCCTTGATTAGTTTCCACCAATTGTTTCTTGTTCTGCCTTCAGGGGCTTTGGAGAATAGGTTGACACCCCACCTCACCTTTGTGGCAGCCCCTTAGATATTGGAACACTGCTATCATTAGACATGAAACACTGCATTCAGAATGATGCAGTATTCCAGATAGTTACTATTGTTTACTATCGAATGCTTGAGAAAGTCCCAATGTTTTACCAAAGTGTTCAAATGGTACATTTCGCACAGGCTTCCGTCAGGCAGTGGTCTGTTTACAGCCCAGCTCATCTAACCATTGCACTTCCCACTAAGATGCCGCTAAGAAGAAATCAGTCTGCAAACTGCTTATTTTTCAATAGTGCAGTGTCTTTGACTGTTTAGAAAAGCTGAAGGTAATGGATGATCCAATCCTCTTCAAGGATTAAGTTGACTATTTTGCTTTAGAATAACTCTCACTCAACTATCAATAATTTAAAAAGAGCTACATCATTGATTATACTGCTCATATCTCTTGGGGCAGAGAAGGAACACCTTGGAGTAGAAATTTCCCTTCCTATAGATTTCCAGGACCATCCTTCTCCCATGCCACTCTTATTTATCTGGCTCCCCAAAAGGAAAAATATTCCTCCAACAAGGAGCCAGACATTTGAGAAGATGAGAAGATGCCAAATTGTCCTTTCAGTTGAAGCACCTGCAACTTCTTAAGGCAAGCTTTTCCATTGGTTGATTGTTCTCACTGTCAGAAAATTTTTCCTTATTTCTAGATTGAACCTCTCCTCAATCAGTTTCCATCCATTGTCCCTTGTCTGGCCTTCAGGTGCCTTGGAAAATAGGTTGCCCGCCTCCTCTCTGTGGCAGCCCCTCAGATATTGGAACACTGCCATCATGTCACCCCTGATTCTTCTCTTCACTAGACTAGCCATGCCCAGTTCCTGCAACCATTCTTCATATGTTTTAACTTTGAGGCCCCTAACGAGAAAAAAGATGCCTAAGTTAGAATTCCTCTCATTTCAATAGCCAACAATTAGTGGGAAAGATCTGTGTTCTTTATATCGAGTCAAGACTTGGGTAGAAGGACTCCACCTTCAAAAAAACTGGAGGGTGTCATTGACACATTGTGATGCCTGGCATAAAAATAGGCTTGGTAACTTGATAGTGTTACGTGTAACTATTGGGAAAGTTTGAAACCTGATCAACTCACATGAAAGTTAATAAAGAGACTTAGAAGTTCTGAGTTAAACTTTTGAATGGAAGAAATTTCCACCTGGACCCTCTTGCACCAAAGTCAGATCTTACCTTAGTAGGTAACAAAGAACACAGTGGAGAGAAAGGTCCCTTAGCTTTTCTATCTTTGAAATAGAGGATTCGTAAGTCCAGTATTTCATAAGCTTGGTTCAACTATCTACATATTTAGACATCAAGCTGAAGCATGGTTTATTTTAACTGTAGTTTATTGGGTAGGTTAAAATGGCTGGGATCACATGACTTCTTAAGTCAAAACCAAAAAAAACTATCTGATGGGCTTAGTGAGAGCTAAAGTCTCTCCTGGATTCAAGAATGCTAGTCTTTATCCATTGAGGTTCTACAGATGGAAAAAAGCATGTTATAGTTATGAGACCTCACTGTTTCCCAGTCTTGCCTTTTTTGACTCCCTCTTGAAGTAAAGGCTACCGCCTTTCCCCCTCCCCCCTTTAATTTCCAAATGAACATCACTTTCTCTTAAGTTGTGCCGTTGTCTCTCACCACACTGTCTCAGTCCTCCTGGAAGCCACTGTTAAATGGGACTAACATTGACAACCATGTTGCCATGGCAACCCAGGCTTCTTCTTCTTCTTTTCTTTTAACCTGCATTGTTGTTGAAGCTTTTCTTTCTCTTCTGCCTGCCCTGCAGGTTAACCTGGACCTGACCTCCCTTCTTGACAGTGAAGATAAAAAGTCAAAGAACAAACGAGGAGTCCTCCCAAAACATGCTACCAATATTATGCGCTCCTGGCTTTTTCAGCATCTTATGGTGAGCAAAATCAACATGTGTGTCTAAGAGATTAACCCTTTGTGGGTCTTTTTGCATTTTGGAGAAGTCAACTTGGAGAACATACACTGCTCTTTTTGTACCTAGCAGATGCTTTGCATATCTTGATCTGCTCCAGAATGTACGCAACCTTCTTTATCCTGTTTGGAAAAGACTTGTGCTGGAAGGTTGGGGTTAGAAATAGGCAGAACAAAATCTAGTCCATGTTTTCAAGTATTCTTCCATTCCCTATACTATTATTTGCAATCTTTTAAAAAATATACTCTAGGAAAATCAGCATTTAATATCCATTCCCATTTTCCTCAGGGTTTTGTTCACTGTTTTGCCTAACTTATGCTTATTTTGTATAGCTGCCCCTTCCTTTCCCAGTTGCTTGACTTGATTACTCAATAAATTTATTTTCTAAAATCTCACACAATACTGAATTGCACAATAATCCAACTTGCGGGATCTGCCTAACACACTAAGGGACCAAAACAAAAAGAAAACTCTGAAGTGGGATGCAAACCTAGCTCTGTGCCACCAAATTATTCACTGACCTTGTTAAGCCTTAGTTGACCTTCCCTGACCAAATGACCTCTCCTGGAAATAGGTCATTCTAAAACCTGACCTGACCTGCATATTATTGCATACAAAATGACAGCACTAGTAGACCCCCATTCATTGCTCTCTGTCTGTGCAACAACGGGATTTGTTTATGCAGGCCACCCTGGATTGCCCCAATTAAGAAATAATGGTGAATTTGTTTTACAGCCTTAATTTTAAGCATACATGTAGGGCTCTTGGCTTTGTTCATTAGAGATCATCAAGTACAATCTGGCGTCTTATTCTGCAGGATGGACTCTGCCATATAATAGCAGGGCAAGGGTTTGATCAGCCGAAAGTTAAGTGTACATGTATTCTGACTATCAACAGAGGATTTTTCCAATATCCTTATTCAGGGACCCAAGTAATTTAAAACCTAAGGATCATTAATGTCTATGGAAATTCTCAGTCATCTAGGTCATGGTTGTCCCAAAGATGTTTTTTCAAAAGGCAACTGGACTTTATTTTTGCTTGAAAACGTTTTGCTTGTCATCCAAGAAGCTTCTTCAGTTGTGAAGGATCACATTGGATGAACTGAAGAAGTTTCCTGAATGAGAAATAAAGAAAGTCCAGTTGCCTTTTGAAAAAACACCTTTAGAATAAAGATAATTAAGTTCCGCTTACTACACAAAAACATAATGTAATATAGTCAGGAGAAGCCAATTTTGTCAGGAGAAGCCAAGTATTTCCTAATTTTACTTTTTTTGCATTTTTTGCATTCGTTCTACACCAGTACATAGCCAAAGACTTCTCATTTTAAACTGCTCTCAGTCAATTAAATATCCTAAGCATTACATTGCCAAACAGAGTTGGCTATGTGACATTATCACTGAAGGCAAACGAGATCTGCTGATAGCCAGGGTGATGTTTTCTGGATTCATCTAAATCAGGGATGGGCAACTATGGTAAGGACCTGTGGACTTCAACTCCCAGAATTCCTGAGCCAGCCATGCTGAATTCTGGGAGTTGAAGTCCACAGGTCCTAAATTTGCCAGAATTGCCCACCCTGGTCTAGATTCTGGTTATAACTTGGAGGGGAGCAGCAGGTTTAATGCTGCTTTTGCCTGTTTAAAAACTACAAAAATCACTGTGCCTGGCAACAGAGGGAACATAAGGCAGATGCTTTAAAGCCAATAAGATGTCTGAATATGACAGAAATGATTTATTTCACAGATGCGTACAAATGACACAATCATTAAGCACCGGAACTCAAAAGTTCTTGATTTATTGGTGTTCTCTGTAACCATTCATGTTGACAAGAAGGAATTTTAAGTTAACACATCCAAGAAGAGGCTGTAGGGAAATACTCAGTTAAGAATTCCTTCCTTGTCTTGGGATAGTCAGCCAAGAAATAAACCCTCAAACAATAAAGGTACAAAGCAGCTTCAATTGGAAAAGTCCAGACTCACCCTGTTCCATCACTGCAGCTGCTCTTAGCTGTGATAAGAAGGAAGGGAGCACCTATTTCTTTCACCAATGAAAGTTTCAAACTCACCAGAGGAAGACCATTTTTAGAAAGTAAGAGAAGTAAGTAAGTAGAAACTTGCTTGTGGGTTTTTTTTCCTGATCTGCAACTTGGCTACCAGTGTTTTTAAATAGCACACTTTCCTGAGCTGATCCCAACTAATTAGAGAACATAAAGACCCTAGCAATCTGCTCTAGCTACATAGTAAAAAAAAAAAAAGGTAAAGTTTTTCCCTGTCCAGTTGTGTTCAACTCTAGGGTGCAATGCTCATCTCCATTTCTAGCCTAGGGAATCAGCATTGTCTGGAGACATTTTCCATAGTCATGTGGTCAGCATCCCTCTATATCAGGGGTCCCCAACCACCGGTCCGCGGACCGGTACCGGTCCGTGGAACAAGTCCTACCGGGCTGCTGGCTTGCTGGGCGCCGCCATCTTTTTTTGATGAAAAAGTGCTTCCGGTGAGCTTTTCCGGGTAGAAAGCTCACCGGAAGCACTTTCTCATCAAAAAAAGATGGCGGCGCCCAGCTAATGCCAGTACCGGGCCGCGCCATAAAAAAGGTTGGGAATACCGGGCCGCGGCGTAAAAAAGGTTGGGGATCACTGCTCTATATCAAAGGTGCACGGAGCTCTGTTACCTTCCCACTGAAGTGGTACCTATTTATCTACTTGCATTTGCATGCTTTCGAACTGCTAGGTGAGCAGGAGTTGGGGCAGGAATGGGGGCTCAGCCTATTATGCAGCACTCGGATCTCGAAGCTGGGCTGTTAGCTTTCCAGCTGACAAGCTCAGCATCTTTAACTGCTGAGGCGTCGGAGTGAGAGCAAAAAGTTTTGCTCTTGCTTTGAATACGCTTCCTGATATCATCATGACACGGCCAACCCTGGCATTCTGAATTTTCCGTCATTAAATGTTGATCCCCTTCTATCACTCATAAATTGGTTCCTTTTAAGTGTTTGAGTGACCCCAGTGCAGAGAGACCCACTCCCATTTTGGCATAAAACTAGTAGTGCAGTTACCACTTTTAAACTCCGGATGTAATGGCTTTGGGGTTACTCATTTAGGTGGTAATGTAAATGAGTGCACTGCTTCAAAATTCAGCAAGCCATTGCTTCCAGAGTAAGCCCTGGGCTTCTGCCCCAAAGGGTCGATCTGATGGCTGCATTATGTGAAGCAATAAAGACATTGTTTATATTGTTCACTCCCTTCCTTGTTGGCTTCAACACAATATGCCTGTCCTAGTTGTTTCTGGGTCAGCCAGATGCAACTCAGTCCCAAGTGCTCTGCTTTTCAGCTGATCCAAAAGTTAGAAAGAAAAAAATATAGATCCCTAACCTATTTTCACTCTTCATTACCAGTTCCCTCTATAGTATTAATGCAACAACATGTTCTACATCCTGCATCCAAACCGACAGTTTTCCAAAGTGAAAGATCTCATTCTTTTCTTTTCTTTTTTTCTTTTCTTAATCAAAATCCTCTGATGGAAATTTCCCACATTTGGAATTAACTTACACCCTTATATTTAGGACATCATCTGCCACCTAGCGTCCAAGACAAGGATGCTACTCAAAGAATTGTCTAACTCTAAAGAGTTTCTATACCTTGTTGGAGAAGATTAGAAAAAAATTGAATTGATGGGTTAGACAGTGTTATTTTCAGATCATCCTTTCTTCTGTTCATTTTCTAAAGGAGTAATAAAGGTTCAGAATTATTTCCCCCTTTTAATCTTTATTCTTCTCCAAAATTGTAGAATTTCTTTCTACAAGGCTATGGATTTTCCCTCCCTTTGTTAGAAACTTTAAGGCAATTGAAGTCAATGCTTCTTTTTCTTTTCTTTTCCTTACCTTTCCTCACTTCTCTTTTCCCTCTCCCCTCCCTCCTCACTGCTCCTTTATTTACTTTTGTATTTTGTATTTTATAATACTTAATGTTAAAGCGATTAAGGACTGGGTGCCAGAATGCTGAGATCTTTACTGTTACCCTAAAAAAATGAGAAAATGTCTGCACAGATTATACAAATTAAAATAACTCAGGATCCAATCTGGGTCAGTCACCCGGATCAGAGGTTTTGTCTTCCAAGCTTTTGGACTCATGCTGGAGCCCATCTTCACGGAACTTCTCTCTAGCAGAGAGTGGGCTGTTCTGTGTGTGGTATTTATATGGTGCCTGAAATGGCTTTCTAAATATCTCAGCTCAGAAGACAAAATCTCAGGTCCAAGTGACTGGCCCAGTTTGGATCCTGCAACATTATCCTGGGACACATATACAGTATTCACCTTCATTTGTAAAATAACTCAAGCTAAAGTAGAATATGAAATGCCAATACTAAAATTCTAGAAATGCCTACAATACTTAAAAGTTGAACTGCTAAATGTGTAAAATAGTAAAATCTGAGATAGCAAAATATTGTGCTAGTTAAGAAATGCTAAAGCCCTGGATTAATATTTTTTTTAAAACTGGTATTATAGGAGCTGCAAACTATAAAGCTGTACTATTAAGCACAAAAATATCATTTCTAAAACTACTGGATCTTTGAACAAGTCCATCAAATGTCCTAGTCTCTTTCAATGTTATCACCTTCCTCTCAGCAATCCTTAGAGGTAAATCTTGATGGTTTTGATATAATATCATTTGGTATACAAATTTGGTATAATGTATGTGATATAATTGGTATAATATTTTTAATGGTATGTTTTAATAGTATAATTCGACCTGAGACAAATCTTAAAGCTTCCAAGTGTTCTTACCAAATTTTGTCCCAAATGCCCATAAGAGTTTTTAAATCTTAATTTGCATTCCAAATATCTTTAATCACACTACAATTTTTATAGTGTCATGTGTTAAAATTTTATTCTGCCTCAAAAATTATTCCTTGAAAAGTCATTGTCACTGCAGAAGAATGTTTCTTTTCACCTACAACTTTAAGAAAAGTTTG